TGGTTAGCAGTCAAGTGCCTTAGGCACTATGCTACCATGGAAATTTTAGTCTATCAACATTAAAAGAATATATTTTTATGGGCCTTTATTAGGGGAAACATTTTCCTTTAAAATAAATAAATAAATAAATGCGTGTCTGCCCTATGCATGTCCTTCTTTTTTATTCTATTTTCCTTTCTGTGGAATATTATTACAAATCAACCATTTTGCATATGCTGGTGAATTGAAAACTTCTGAGATAAATTACACATGCTCCCGGCTCCCAGGGCATATGTGGTGTCTATTGCCCAAGATGGGGTTTTAGTGTTGGGTCCGTTCAAACTCCAATTCCAGGATTAATATTCTTGTTGTTAACCCCTAGTCAGTCATCAAAGAGAGATGGAAGAGTTGTCTAAAGAAAACAACGTTCACTACTTTTTCCCCCCTCCGTAAACTCATAAAACAGGAAAATCTTGCAATAGTTGCCTTACAGGTTACGCTACTGATTCAGAATTAAACCACAAGCTACCCTAGTAAGAGAAGTTGTAAATGAGCTGGACCTATTGATTTATTGACCCTTGTCTGGGTTGCTGGCAGTTTGCCATTTGTACAGCCTTCTTAGTACAGTAATGCCTTTAAGGAATTATGAGAATGACAAAAGTGAAGCTTCTCCTTTGCCTACTTCTGATGGTTTTTTTCTTGAATGTTCTGGGCTCCAGACATTTGGTTTTACACTGATCAAATATTCATAGAAAGATGAAACTCCTTCAATATCCAGTCTGATCAGGTTTGGCTCATATTCTTTTCAAATGGATTATTTTCACTATGGAGATGGATTCCCAAAATAGCCAGCTCCAACTTGGAGTCAGCCAGACATGATTAACTTAGCCATTTATGTAAGGAGCTCAAGTACGTTTTTTTTTTTTTTTTTCCACCTATACAATGGAGATAATTCTAGACAATACATAGAACAATTCATGGCTCAAAGTTAGGAATTAAAAAAAAAACAACTTGCTCTCAAGGCTCATGTTAAAACAGTTGTTTTCCTCTTGTTCTTTCAAATTACTGAAGGGTCTGCTTGAAATGTCTATAGTAGGAAATCTTAAAACTTAAACACAGGCTGATTTATTTTGCCATGGTTTCCCTAGGCAAGGAGCAAATGCCACAAGAGATGAGCTGACGACCTCTGCCTTCCTGACGGTTCAGCTGGATCGATCCTTTGAAGGACAGGCTGTGCAGGTTGGAATATTGTTATCCATGAAAATTCATACATGTTTTTGCTAACCTACTTCTGAACTAAGTACAGCACATGAACCCAGTTTCTAATTAAAGCCTCCCCCTCCCCCCAATTAGAGTAAGGAACCCTGGTGGCATAGTGCCTAAGGCATTTGACTGCTAACCAGAAGGCTGGCGGTTCAAACCCACCAGCCACTCCTTGGAAGGAACGTTGGGCAATCTACTTCCATAGTGATACCACCTTGGAAACCCAAGGAGGGGTCACTATGAATTGGATCTGACTTGACTGCAGTGCATTGCATTTTTCTGTTCCATTAGAGTAAGAATTTTATCTTGTTATTAATTTTTTTTTTTTCATTTTGGAATTAAAATACTGTTACACTCATGTCATGCTAGTTCTCTGAGATTCTGGAAAAGAGGAAGGAAAAACAGCAAAAATAAAAATCATAATAACAGATTTATGAACCCAGAAGAGTCTTTCCTTTATAATCACACCATACACCAATCGTGACAGTTTCTTAACTTAAAATTTAAAAGTCAACTTAAAAGTGTCCTAAATGTGTTGTCATTTCCAGCTGTTGTTAAACAGTTTTGATAGAATGACTATCCCTCCTCCCCAAGGATGACCACTACTTAATCCCTAGAACCTACAAGCCTGTTACCTTACATGGCAAAGGGGATTTAAGGTTGCAGATAGAATTATGGTTGCTAGCCATCAGACCTTAAGATATGGAGATTATCCCCCATTTTCCAGGTGGTAACAATATAAGCACAAGCATCCTTAAAATGCTAGTGGGAGGCAAAATACATAAATAAATTCAGAGTACGAATGATGCCATGCAAAAAACACTTGATAGGTCATTGCTTCCTCAGAAGGAAGGTTGGGCAATCTACTTCTGTAGTGGTACAGCCTCAGAAACCCAAGGAGGGGTCACCATGAGTTGGATCTGACTCGATGGCAGTGCATTTGGATTTTTGGTTTTAGCTTTAAGTAGAAATGATGGAACCATGAGCCAAGAAATGCAGGAAGCCTCTAAAGACAAAACCAAGCCAAACTCACTGCCACCGAGTCAATTCCAACTCATAAGGACCCTTTAGGACAGAGTAGACCTGCCCTTGGGCTTCCAGAATACTTCCTCCTTCTCCTATGGATCAAGTGATGGTTCAAACTGCTGACCTTTTGGTTAGCAGCCAAATGCTTTTACCACTATACCACCTGAGCTCATAGGAGGCCTCTAGAAGCTGGAAAAGGCAAGGAAACAGCTTCTCCCTTAGAGCCACCAGAAGGAATGCAGTCCCTGCTGACACCTAGCCTTTAGCCCTCTGAGACCCATTTCAGACTTTTGTCCTCCAGGACTGTAAGAAAACAAAACTCTGTTCTTTGAGCTGCTGCTGAATTTGCAGTTAATTTGTTATACTGTTATAGGGAAGTATTGCAGCCCTATAGAACAAGCACAGATTTATAATCCTAATTAATAGGTAAATATTTCAGAAAAAATATTTTTTATCATAAAGTATATATGTTATCTTTTGTACAGCCAAACTGAAGTAAACCTTGGTAAGAGAGATGAATCCTTATTTTTCTCTTTTAGGTACCAGAATCTTGACTGAAACAAAGTTCAATAGCCCCCAAAATGAATAAATAGGGAAGAAGAGAAATGGAGGAAGAGAGAAGAAGAGAAAGACAGATAGAGGTGGAGAGGAGAGAGAAAATAAGAGGGAGGAAAGAGAAAGATGGAGAGGGAGAAGAGAGGAAAGACAGGGAGAAGCAATACAGAGAGGCAAGGGGAAGAAAAGAGATAGGAAAGAGGGGAGAAGGAAGAGAGAAAGAAGGGGGAGGAAAAGGGGAGGGTAAGACAGTGAGAGGAAGGGAAGACATGCGTTCTTTGGGAGTTTATGAAAATAACAACATAATCTGTTGAGTTGTCTGAACCCAAATTCAAAACAACAACTCATATAAATATGAATGAGCTAAGTTTGTTTTATATGTATATATGCCACTCCTCACAAGGAAGATGGGGCAATCTACTTCCGTAGTGATATTGCCTCAGAAACCCAAGGAGGGGTTGCTATGAGTTGGGTCCAACTTGACGGCATATAACAACAACAACTACATATATATATATATATATATATATATATATACACACACACACACACACACACACATATGTATATATAAATGTATATATGTATATACATTTGGTTTTGGCTTTAAGTAGAAATGATGGAACCATGAGCCAAGAAATGCATGAAGCATGTATATATATATATACACACATATATGAATATATAAATGATCTAGTGGCACTGTGGTTAAGCACTCAGCTGCTAACCAAAAGCTCTGTTAGACCCCACCAGCTGCTTCATGGGGGAAAGATGAGTCAGTCAGCTTCCTTAAACATTTACAAACCTTGGAAACCCTATGGGGGCAGTTGTACACTGCCCTATAGGGTTACTGTGAGTTGGAATTGACTCAATGGCAGTGGGTTTGGTTTTGGTTGGATAAACACACACACATGCATACACACACACACGTGTGTGTGTGTGTATGTAGTGTGGAGTGAGTGTGTTAATGTATTGACTTATGAATTATGAGTTTGAGTGTCATACCGTGGGATTCCAGTATCACTGTCTAGCTCTCCTCACTCTAAGGGACAATTTCTAGTCTGGTTCCACCCTTATTTCTGTTTTCTCAAGCTGAGTGGCAGCTCTTTTGGGTTTATGGTGGAGTGTCTGTTACTTGTTTCAGGAGCCTTATTAGTAACCTCAGGAAATTCTTGGTCTCTGCTTATTTGATTCCTTATTGTATAACATAAATGCAAACTGACGGAAGCTTTGTTTCTCTCCTGTGTGTCGCTCCAGTATGGTTGCCTGCTCCTCCCTAGCATTCCTCTGCCTCCTTTCCTTCTAACCTTCCTCCTTCCTTCTCGTTCCCTCCCCTCCCTTTCTCCTAGCTTACTCTGTCTGGGTGTTATCTTTCTGGCTGGTTTTGGCAAAGGAGTCTGCTGCATCTCCTGGAAAAAGCATCTTTCAGATTGGAGTTTCACCTGAACGCCGGTGCTCCTTAGGGCAGCACCATGACATTTCTGACAGACATCATTCAACTTCCCTTTTCAGGGAGGTGTCTGTTAACTTCCTCATTTTTTGTGTCACGTGATCGGAGATTCTGTGTGATATGCAAATTCTTTTGTTTTCTTTTCATATCTTTATAAATGTGTCATTTGCTTCTTCAAATGTAATAATTAAATGTAAAGGCAAATCAGATAGTTTAAAACATTCAATCTAAGATGTGTTGGCAGTTGAATTTGGTCTTCCTGCTGGTTTCTCTATATTACTTGTTAATAGATATACAGAGTAAGTTAGATCTAAATTGATAGCTATGCATTAAGTATTTGTTTTAGTAATTGTTTAGTAATTCACCTTTAAAAATATGATTGCATTCTTTAAATGCACTAGACTATTTCTCAATGAAATACAGGCAGTCCCTGGGTTATAAATGAGATCCATTCCCAACTGTGTCTTTAAGAATTTATAGGTCAGTCAGAACATAAGCTCTTACTTAGCCTTATTTTAGTGCAAGAACAGGAGCCCTGGTGGTTCAGTGGTTAAGCACTCAGGTTTTCGAACCCACCAGCTTCTCTGCAGGAGAAAGATGTGGCATTCTGTGTCTGTAAGGATTTATGGCCTTGAAACCTATGAGGCAATTCTACTCTGTTATACAGGGTAGCTATGAGTCAGAATCAACTCAACAGCAGTGAGTTTGGTTTTTGGTTTGGCTTTGGTGTCATAGTGCCTATGGCAGTTGACTGCTAACCAGATGGTTGGTGGCTCAGACCCACCCGCCACTCTGCAGAAGAAAGACTGGGCAATCAATTTCTTTAAAGATTTACCACCTTGGAAACCCAAAGGGGGTTGCTATGAGTTGGAATTGTCTTGATGGCAGTGAGGGGTTTATTTATTTATTTTTTGAGTGCAAGAAAAGGCTCAAAGCCTTTCAGTTACTTAAAATCTGCACATGCAGTAAGTGAAGGTGATTGTGATGAAGACATTGGCTAATTGTTTCAAAGTGAGGACAAATCCATATAACATTAATGGGCAAATTCGCATAAGCTTTAAGGGAGTCGTCCAATAAGAACAGATGTCATCTAATTAGTCTCTAAAGTATTCTTTATCACATTATGTAGAAACTTTGAATATATCCATTGTGCCTTATAAATTTCATAGTTCATTGTACAATATTTGCTGTGTGCAATTGATGAATTTCCATTGTTAGCCAATTGAATAGTAAATTTATAATGAAATGGTAATTTTTAGTTTAATCACTAGATGGCAGCAGTTTACAACAATACATAAACAGCTAAAATCCTGTACTGGCAAAAACTCCAAACTCACTGCCTTGGACTCGCACCCGACTCATAGTGACCCCTCCTTGTGTTTGGGTTTCAGAGATGGTGTCACTACAGAAGTAGATTGCCCAGACAGCTTTTAAATCATTGAAAAGACCTCGAGCCTTTTCTTGCACTTAAAGTAAGGCTAAATAAGAACTGTTTGCACTTGTTCTGACTCAACTACAAATTCTTAAAGACATAGATAGGAATGAGTCGCATTCATAACCTGATGACTGCTTGTATTGCTGTTTGAAAATTTCCTTTGTAGAGTATATTAACAGTATTAAAATTTTTCAATTTGCCTTTTTTTTTTTCCCAATCTTTCAGTCACCTTTCATGGAAAGGGATGAGTCTTAATCAGTGCCCCCCTTTTTCTCATATTAGCAATTGAGGTTTCCTCAACATTACATGAAATGCTAAACCAAAAAAACCAAACTCACTGCTGTTGAGTCGATTTGACTCACAGTGACCCTTCCTTGGGTTTCCAAGGCAGCATCTCTATGGAGTTCTGGTAGCATAGTGCCTAAGGCACTTGACTGCTAACCAGAAGGCTGGTGGTTCAAACCCACCAGCCACTCCT